GCAGCGGTTGGGTCAGGAGGGGTCTGCCGTGCCCTGGGGGTCACCTCTGGGGCGGGGAGCGAACTCCCACTGAAGCGGCTGTGGCCGGCTTGCAGTGCTGTGCCCTGACCCGTTGTGCCACCAGGGAGGCCCAGGACGTGATTTTTAAGAGCAAAGATAAAGGGAATGAGGTCGCCATCATCCCAGGTGTCAAGGCTCAGGGTAATAAGCCCATGAGCTTTGCCACCCTGACACTCTTTAAAAGACTTGTTGTATTTATTTATGCATACAAGAGCTGGGGTGCAGGCCGAGGTGTGTGTGTGTTGTGGGGGGTGAGAGGACTCCCAGAGACAGAGTGGGCAGCAGAACAGGCAGATGGACTGAGATCCACTGCTGAGGGGGCAGTGGGGAGACAGGAGGGGTCTGCTGCGCCCTGGGGGTCACCTCCCTGGCTGTCAATCAAACTCACACCAAAATGGCTGTGGCCAGCTTGCAGTGCTGCGTCCTGACCTGCTGCGCCACCAGGCAGCCAAAATTCTGAACGTTTAAGGAACAATGACAGGTCCTCCCTGGGGCGCAGGGGTGAGTCTCGCCACTGTGAAGGGGCCGCAGCCCCTACAGCATGAGTCCCCCCCACACCCCCCCAGCCAGGGAGGGACCCCAGGGCACAGCAGACCCCTCCTGCCTCCCCGCTGCCCCCTCAGCGGGTGGGTCTCAGTAGATCCGCTCCCCACTCTGTCTCTGGGGAGTCCTCTCCTCCACCTCTGGCCTGCACCCCAGTTCTTGTGTGCATATGTAAGTCAATCTTAAAGAGAATAAAGGACGACATCAAACATGATATCTGCAGTCTCAGGTCCTCCTGGTCATCCTGGGGGCACCGGGAGACGCCTGGCAGTCACTGCCTTGCCAGCTGGAGGTCCCCTTTCTGGCGCCCAGGCATCTGGCATCGCCCCGCACCCCTGCCCCTGGTGTCCCCATCCAGAGGACGCCGCATCGGCTCCACCTGGCTGTGAGGGAGGCGGCGGAGCCAAACGGGAGTATTCTCAAAGCGGGCGATGCAGCTCCTGAGAGAAAGCCGGCCCCGCCGTGCTGCGTGGGGGGGTCCCACTGGCTCTGGGGGCCGCTTCCTGGCCCCCCGGCACCCGTCTGGCCGCCGCCGCGGAGGTGCGGGCTGGGGCTGCGGGAATCCGGCTCTGTCACTGCAGGACAGGCGGTTTGGGAATCACAGCAGCGAGCAAGTCTCCCGGGAATTCAGTAGATGTGTCCCAGCTTCCAGCTCTGTTACCCTGCAACGTCCCGGCACGAGGCCCGCGCCAGGGCAGAGCTGGGCGAGGAGCAGGCAGACGCCGCGAGACGTGGACACCGCCGCCCCTCTCCGTGCGTGCCCGTGACGCCTCTGCTGTTGTCCTGCTGGAGCAGTCCATGTCCACTCCGGACAGCGTGGTGCCCAGGTCCAAGCCAGGGTGCGTCCCAGCTGTGCACGCGAGGTGGCAGCCTGGCTGCTCGAGGGGGCGCCTGCCCGCCCCCCCGCCGCAGGGTCCTCGTCCTGCAGCACCTCAGCGCCTGTCCGTGGTGGGACAGCCTGGCCCAGCTCAGCCGGCTCCGGCAGTCTCTCCCGGGATCCAGACCTCACTGGCCGAGCGGTCCGGGGTCCTTGAGTCGGCCCCCAGGACTAGATGGGGCGACAGGATAGAGGGCCTTTGCCCCGGCCCAGGAAGGCGAGAAGCATGGCAGGAGCGGCAGTAATAGCGGCGTCTCCCAGGCCCTTTGGGTAAAAAAGTCACGGCGACGGCGGTCAGGCTGCGTGTCCACACACTGGCCGACGCAACCGAGGGCGGCGTCGCGTGAACTGGGGCTCGCAAGGACCCTAAGGCGCCTGTGAGGCACCCGCTGAGCAGGGCGGGCTCAGTACGGGCTCTGTGCCTCAGGGTGCCAGCGCCCAGCCGAGCGCGAGGCCGCGGGGTCTGTGTGCACCATCTGGACCCTGACCCGGGCCACAGAGCAGCGTGGGCCTCACATGTGGGCGAGAGAGGAGGACCGTGGGCACGGAGCGTGGCAGGTCACTCTGGGCGGCGAGAAAGCCCCGGCCCGTGACCTCTTCACCTGCCCGACCTCTGCCAAACCCACGGGGCTCGGCGGCTCCGAATACACAGCCGTGGCCCTTCCCGTTGGGGGTCCTGCCAGCGGCAAGATGTGGGCCGGCACAGCCAGCCTGACCTCCAGGAAATCGGCCGGCCTCGGGAGCCAGGACTGGCCACCGCCGCGATGAGGGGCCGGTGGGCCGGTGGTGTGCATGTCCCAGGGCGCCTCACCCCGCGGCTCCAGCTCAGAACGGGGCAGCTTCAGAAGAGCGGACAGCCTGTCCCCTGCAGCCTGCCCCTTCCCGCCTGCTCTGCCCCCCGCTGCCCGCCAAGCAAATGCTTCTCTGTGGACAGCACCTTTTGGTTCAGAGTCTGCAGCTTGGTTCCCCCCTCTTTGCTGGCGTGCCTGAGGCCAGGTCCCGGGGAGAGGGGCGTGGGCGGGCCAGCAAGCTGTGGGCAGCAGAAGCCCAGCCCCTCACCTTCTCCCTTTGCCTCCAAGTTCCCCCAGCCTGAGGTCAGGTGAGTCAGCCTCTCAGCACCTGTGAAAGCTCTGGCCTCCTCCCAGGCCGCCTCCTGCCCTGCCCCGGGCTCACCGCACCTGACCGCCCACCTTTTCCTGCAGTTGCAGGCCTGGCTCTGCCCGGGCAGGCGCGAGCGCTTCCCCACACCTCTGCTCCGGCTGCCACCTGGGCCCAGCCCTGGCCGTGAGCACCGGGAAGGGCCAGGCAGGGCCGGGTGGGGCCGTGATTCTCTGAAAGGCCAGCCCTGTCCACCACACCCCCAGCCCCCCAAGAGGCCAGGGCCCTCCCCTCCGCAGGCAACGGACCCCAACCCTGGGGAAGTCCCTCTCTGGTGCCCTTGAGGCCTCCCCCCGCCCCCCCCAAGCTGGGTTCCTGGGCCTGGCCAGCGCGGCCATTGCTGCCCCTAGGTCTCGTGCCTTGGCACCGGGCGGCTGGCACTCCGACAGCACATGGGCGCTGAGCTGGCGACCGGGTGAGCAGTGCCAAGCCCTAGGTGCGTTTGGGGGTGAGGCCTCCACCCGCGGCGGGCACTGGACCCCCCCCGGGGGGTTTCGGGCCCAGCTCCCTACTCTTGCAGCCCCCACGAGGCCGCGGCGAGTGGCCAGGTGTCGGGCTGGCGACCAGGGCGGGGAGTGGGGGGAAATGGAGACCCGG